ACACCAAAACTGGTACTTTGAAAATGATTTGGTACATTGGTACGTTGATTTTGATTTTGGTACTTTTTCCTTAAAAGCGACAGTTAGGGAAAAAGATATTAATTATTTCCATCATATGTTTGATTTTTCTTTATTCTGTATTTATTCGTCAATCAAAAGTCAAATAATTTAAACGAGAGCTTCAATACAATTAATCATCAATTTTCGCGTTTTCGCAACTGACGATACTAAATTCTCTGACTGTTTCTTTTTTCCTCCTATTCGGCTTTGTTTACTTGGACTTGAGAAATGTCAGCGCCGCTGGGAATGCGCAATTTGATATTATATAATTATTCGGTGGTGCCGTCAATGCTACGGGAACTTTGGCCTTGTCAAATCATATATTGTTACAATTTTACACAACCAAAGCACGTTTTCTATCGAAAAATTTAATGTGTATTAAAAAATTTACTCCTTTTACGGTTTCTTTGACCCTCCTATTCGGCTTTATTTGCTTGCTTCTACTTGAGAAATATCATCGCCGACAGGACGGCGCAATCTTGTATTTTATGAATCTTGACTTTCCAATGAGTAAATATATAGAGACAGATTAGTTTTAATGGAGTGATGGACAAGTAAGAAAACTAAACTAATTTGAAGTGCAATTAATTTGTGGTTTGCGAACACACTTGACCTCGTTCAAAATTTATTGAGCTACAAAACTGCATACTCAAAAATATTCTGATCAAAAATTGGAAATTTGCATGAAAATTAATTGAATTTTCCTGAGTTTTGAACAGAGTTCAGAAATAACATTTTCATGCTTTTGGATACAGTATGGATTAGTATATTTTTATAAAATATAGCAAAAGATCCAAAAAATTTTATAAAAAAGTTAAAATTACGATTACTGTAATCGTAATCCAAGTTCGTTCGATTACTTTAATTGTAATCCTGTATTGTTTTATTTACAGGTTATACACAGTTTATTTCGAACGAATTTCTGTCATACCTTGTCAAGTTTGGTTTGCAGACAAACCGGTTTCGGAGTTGTGCCATCTTCAGTGTCATGTGTCCATGCCTGTTGTTTTGTTGTAATTTTTCTTTATCTCGTTAATTAATTTTAAGGGTTCGAATATAACATCCGATGCGGTATTTGTTTGTTCGTTTATTATCTTGCCGTCGAAGGTTTTTAGTTTGTATATTTCCATATTTTTATTTTAACATTAGTTTCTTTTATTTGTCTGTTTTTTTTTTATATAAATACATATTATCGTTAAGCGCGCATTTATATTTCGCAAATTTATAGAATAACTTCCTTTAAGATTACTCAAAGGATTATAATTAAAAAAATTTTAAATTTAAAGTTATTTTAATCATTCATCGAGCGAATTTAGATTACATTTACAGTAATTTTAATTTAAAAAAAGACGAATTTGCGTAATCGTAATCCAAGATGCCTTCGATGAGCGATTACGCAATCCTAATTTAATAATTTTTGAAATTGCGATTAAAGTAATCGCTATCCTAGATGTATAAAATCAATTCCATAGTCATGGAGGAGGGTTGCCACCTGTTTAAAAACTCAAATTCTACTTGAGTTAAGGGAATTATTTATAAGAAATTTATATAAAACAAGTAAGAGCAGCGCTGTCTTCGGCTATGCCGAAGGCTTCATACCTTTCATGAACATCTGCAAATTTTAGTTTGACAGATTACTGCTTTTGAATACATCTGCATACATCGATAGAGGAGTTACATACTTATATAAAAAATCGCATCTAAACAATCAGAGGTATGGAAGATATACTTTATATGACACCAATCTAAGTGATTTTCACCGCTATGTGATCGGTATGTAAACCGGTAACACAATTTATTGGGTTTAGTTTCCTACATAAAGGAGATATATGGCAAAAACTGGTATCTGAACAATCAGTGCTATAGGAGATAAAGCTTATACAGCATAGATTTTGACGATTTTCACAGTAGACTTTGTATTATTATTTATAAAATATGTTACGAAATTTATCGGTTTTAGCTATTCAAATAAAGAAGTTTTACAGTAAAATCCCATATCTGAACAATCAGATGTATGGAAGATATATGTTGTAGTCATCCGATCCTTGTTATTTTCACTGTAAGTATTCTGTTAATAATGAGTGAAAATGGTGCGAAATTTCATGTTCCTAGCTGCATAAATGGAGGAGTTATGATAAAAGACCTCATATCTGAACAATCAGTTGTATGGGGGCTGCAGGTTATAGTGACCCGATCTTTATTATTTTCGCGGTAAGTCTTCTGTTGATAATGAGTGAAAACAGCGCGAAATTTCATGGTCCTAGCTACATAAATGGATGAATTATAACGAAAAATCTCATATCTGAACAATCAGTTGTATGGGAGCTATAGGTTATAGTTACCCGATCTTTTTAATTTTCACTGTAAGTTTTCTGTAGATAATTATTGAAAACAGTGCGGAATTTCATGTTCCTAGCTATATAAATGGAGGAGTTATAACGCAAAATTTTATATCTGAACAATCAGTTGTATGGGAGCTATAGGTTATAGTGATCCGATCTTTGTAATTTTCACTATAAGTATTCTGTTGATAATGGGTGCAAGTATTGCAAAATTTCATGTTCTTAGCTGCATAAATGGCGAAGTTATAATGAAAAATCTCATATCTGAACAATCAGTTGTATGGGAGCTATATGTTATAGTAGTCCGATTCTTCCGGTTCCGACAAATGATTAATACATTATAAAAATACACCCACCTTCCAAATTTCATCCGGATATCTCGAAAACTGAGAGACTAGATTGCATACAAACAGACAGACAGACGGACAGACGGACAGACGGACAGACGGACAGACGGACAGACGGACAGACGGACATGGCTAAATCAACTCAGCTCGACGTTCTGATCATATAAGTATACATTTTCATGGGTCTATCTCTTTTTGTTCTGGTACTTACAAACATCGGACCAAAGTTATAATACCATTTCATGCTCATGAAAGGTATAAATATGGGTGTCAGACGAAAGATGCCTAAAAAGGTTGTAGCTTTAAAAAGTCAAAATAAATTAATTATACGCCAGCTTTCTGTAAAACTAAAATAAAATTATAGTTAAAAAACTAAAAATACGCTTTTATTACAAGAACTAAAAAGTATAATATAATTTATATATATAGCGATTCCGTTTAAGAAGAATAGGAAGTTACCTTACTTGATTTAATTTAACTTTTTTAAATTAGCTAAAAATAGGATTAAAGTGATTGGCCCGCAGTCATAGTCAAAATAAAGTCCACTGTAAAGTTAGTTGTAATGTGTAAAGTTAGTTAATTTTCAATGGGATATCTGTAAAAATAAACTGCAACAAACTTTACAGTGGACTTTATTTTGACTATGACTACGAGCCAATCACTTAATCATATTTTTAGCTAATTTAAAAAAGTTACATTAAATAAGGTTAGGTAACTTCCTATTCTTCTTAAACGGAACGGCTATATATATAAATTATTTTATACCTTTTAGTTCTTGTTGTAATAAAAGCGTGTTTTTAGTTTTTTAACTATAATTTTATTTTCTACCTTTTAGTCTTTTGAAATCTTGCAATTAATATTATACTGTCTGTATATTTCTCATTCTGTCCATTTCTTTCAATGCATCGTTATTGCATGGCTTCTTTCCAGTCAGTTTCGAGTTATCCAATTCCTCTATCTGAAGTGCTTCTAGCGATCTTACTCTGCTATAAACCATATCGGAGCACAGATGCAGATTTTTTAATTATATAGACTCACGCGCTATATAACTGCCAAAATTGTTTGTGTGGTTATTTCTTTTCATGTAAGAAATGAACATTCTAAATGTGAACTTAATCGGATCATAAATGCGGGTTTTACAAATATCTCGACTCCTGCGCCACCTAGCGGATTAAGTCGTCCTTTGTGTTGCATTGTCCTCGAATTCTGAGCTAAGTTGGAGATCTCAAGTCTGTAGCTCATCGGGAAGTTTGTTAAATATTGATTGCAAAGTTCCAGGACATACATACATACATACATACATGCATAAAAGTAAAGCTAAATAAAAGCTCGTAAAAAGAAAGATTATCAAGAAACCTTCAGACTAAACATTCAGAATATTACTGAGGTGTTTTACAATGGTTTCCAACCGTTCAAAAATTAAATTCAATTAACTTAAATGAATTACTACAACATTCGTAATATGTGTCACAATGTGGGTGTCAGACAAAAGGTTAAATTCAAACTATTCAATAATTTCGATGAACTATTACAATATGGGCTTCATTTCTAAACTATGTACATATTAGGGGGTTGTCACCTGTTTTAAATCTCGAATTGAATTCAGGGGAAAGGTTTATTGAAAAACTATCACAAGAGAGGGGTTTAAACTTTAGTTTGAAAATATTTTGAAGATGGTTAAAAAAATTTAAAATCTCCTGTTTTTGGCATAAGTATGGATGTCGAGTTTTATTGAAAGAAATTACACGCAGAAATTTCATACACTCAGCGGAGCGGATGAGAGCGCTCTAGTTTTTTTATAAAAATATTCATACAACATATTCATACAACAAAAAACAAAAAAAAACAAGAATCTTTAGACTTTGTACGAAACTCAGGAAAATTCAATTGAATACAAGTTTGCATTGCTATATACATAACTTAGAGCCAGCTTGAAGTCGGTAAAAAATCGTGTCTTCTTTAAGCAGCCATGACTTGCATTCTTTGTTTAAAATCCGTTCGTTATTCAAACAGCAATTTCATTTTTGATCTTATTGTGTAATCCACTCGCATTAACTGGGACACAATTACAAATTTTATTTACATCTACACTCAAGAACTTACACATTCAAAACAAAACAATCAACATTATCAGCTGATTCAACGATGCTGACAAAATTTTGTAACAAAGAGCTGTATGCTTGGCGCTACATCATTACGCACCTTGTATATAACTAATGAAACAGTCTGCAGGAAATCGCAGTTGCTAACAATGTCGATTAGTAAATAGATTTTGCAACTATACATATTTTTAGAGTTCTAAATTCTTTTAACGAGATGTTGAAATTTTTTCTTGCCAAAAACTGGGATAATTTGCGTCCCGGCATGTGTTGTACAGGGCCCGGGACGGTCCCGCCGAAAACGGGACGGCAACCGTGGTCTGCAGGTATGATGGAGTCTTATTGAAATGGATTTATATGAGATGATTGACACATCGTTGGGAAAAAAATAGTTCGCTTATAAATATAATTGTGCTTGTATTGAAATAAACTTTACAAACTGTAGTTCCATTAGAAAATAACATCTTATTTACTATTTTAATCCTTATATCACGAATGCACACTATCCGCCTCAATTTCCATATGCAAATTATTAAGCTCTGACCTCTATACTTAATAGTGGCTCCTCTTTATAGGTCAACGTAACTTTTGGTATGAAAACGATATCAGCATATTTAAAAGTTGTTGAGAATTTAAGACTGCGGAGTAAAGTTATCAACAACACGCGCAATGTTAATTCTGCGTAACGGAAACCTTTAATGCGAACAGAAAACAAATTTGGTTTGATTACTGATTGATTTTCATAGCTTCTAGTTAACTTGCCTATGCAATTGCGCGGTCCTTTTGAGAAAGCCATATACGCACACGGATGACGCTTTGCAATATTCTCGGGTAGGAAGTTGTCGGGGTTGAAACGGGCTGCTTCCGGGCCCCAAAGCTCTTTGCGCCTATGCAATTCGTAAATTGGCATGATGACTTGCATTTCCTTGGGAATGGTTACACCGGGCCGCAGTTCGGTTTCATTTATAGCTTGTCGTCCAATGTAAGGTATTGGTGGAGCTAGTCGCAATGCCTCTGCTATGACCATATCCAGGTACGGGAACTTTTTCATATCGTCGTATTCCACTGAAGTGATTCCGTCTGGAAATACAGAACGAACTTCTTCAAATGCACGTTCCTGAATTTCCGGATGCATCGCCAGCAACACAATCGTCGAGTACAGCGCAATAGCTGACGTCTCGTAGGACTGCAAAAATAGTTAAAGTTACGCAAGTCATGTGTGCTTAAGCGAAATTAATTTTGTCGATTTAAATGGCATTGCGCTATTATATACATATGTACCCTCTATGTATTACTCTATTAGTTGATATTTTTTGAAATCTTTGACTTTCTTTAACAAATTGTTGATTTATTTTGATCTCTTTGGTAAAATTTTTACACGTATATATAAACAATACCTAAGGTACAAGTTTTACCTTAGCACTTACAAGTTATTTTTTTCTTTTAATAACCTTTATATTTGTAGTTAATAGCCACTTCCGTTAACACTTAAATGCATACTTTTTTATTTTGGTATTTATGGGTTTTTTTTTCAAAGTTTAAGTACTTGTTTGCTTACGAATTGTTCGGGCCAGCAAAGCAACAACCATATTGCTATCGCACCTGAAAGACTTGTCACGAAAATAGTACCTAAGAAAAAGTGCGAGTATTCCAGCAACACCGATTGAATTGGTATACAGTTATTCGTATGGTAATTTCATATTCTAGCAATGCACCTTTGCTCATATACCTAACTGAATCAGACTTCAGCTAGTTTTTGTGTCGCTTGTTGAATCGCAGAAGCCCAATAAAGGCAAATTAAATATTTTTGAAATGAAGAAGTCGAGACGAATCGATTGGTACCAAATTTACTTTATTTAGACTGAAGGCTCTTTCGGTATTTAGACAAGCCTTTTATTTTTGCCGGAAATAATAAAAGTCACTTTTTAACCGCTATTATTTCACTGAAAAAATAAAAGTCAACTTTTTTTCAAAAAGTTAGGAAAATAAAGCGCACGAGGGATTCTTATTGAGAATATCCTGAGGACCTCAAGAACTTTGAAAAATCTTGTCTACAACAATATTTTGTCCTTGACTTTTATATTTTTTAAAAATATCTATATTTCTCGACCAACAACGCCCTCAATGCAGCGGCAAGGAAGAAGCTACTCAAAAATTTTTTCCACACAACCTCAGAGGTTTTATTTTCATGTGGTTTCACCAGTAGTCCTAATCCACACATATGCAGTTATTTTCACCAAAATAAAAGTCTTTAGAATCAGAGAAAAGTCGTATTGATAACAGGACAAAACCTTTTTGCTAATTATAGTTTCAACTGACTGAAAATAGTTATTCATGGGCTCGGCCTATTGGTGAACGAACCCACAGTTCAAAACACACGCCAAAAACAACGACCTGCGAGATACTGTGAAAGTTTAAGTGTTTAAGTAGCTTTCCCCTTGCCGCTGCATTGAGCGCGTTGTGGATCGAGATCTACACGTCGTACACATATAAATAATGCCTTTAATGGAAATTTTGTCCTCTACAACTTTGCCATTTAAATGAGCCACTTATTTCAAATACAAGTTTCTCAAAATTGGAAAAAACCGCGCCATTATATGCATTTTTTGCATATTATTAGCAATAAGTAATAGCTTAAAAAATGATAGGCACATGAAAATTGTAGGGAATCGAATTCTCTACAAATGTGCTCTACCTTTTTTCTCGAGAAATGCAAAATTCGCGCGCAAATCGTAAAAACAACAAAATCCAAGATCGCTGACTTTTCCCATATCGCAATTGGGGGAAAAATTTTAATTTTGTGTTCACCTAACTGCGTCAAAAAATTTCTTCCTGGAATTTTTTCGTTGAAAAAATCTAAAGTGGTCGGTCTAAAACGATTCGTTTGGTTTGTGCTCGGCTGCCGTTGAAACGTATCGTGTATTGTCAGCGCTTGGGAACATTATCGAAAAAGGAACACAAACTTTTCGTACTTGTTGTGGTGATGGGTAGTGATGTGTTCGCTTTGTTTTCGTACTCTGCCCGTAGGTCAAGACGAAGGCGCTGGACTCATCCTTTTTTCTCTTTTTATTTAGGTTGCGGGGCGAAAGTCTTTCAAACATCCCATTTGTAGGAGGTTTTCCAAAAGATTCAGCAACTGCTGGCGAAGGGACGCTATAGATTTCAGTGGATCCTTCAAGCGGATATGTCTGAGTGGTCCCACTGCAGCTCTCACTCTTTCTGCCGTAACCCAAAGCTGTATACGGGTTAGCTGGCGAATTTAGGATCTCACATTGCCCAGGGTGGTTGAATGCGGACGCGAAAGAAGGAATTGAGGAGAGTTAATCAACTACAACTGCATGACCAGAAGACACAAGACATTGGGTAAGTGACTTACGGAAACCCCTACATACCAAATGTACACTGGGGGGAAAAAATTTTAGAATTAGAAATAAACGTGCTAAATTAAAAAAAAATACGTGAGAATGTAACGAAGGAGGCGAAGATAAATGTCACTTTGACAGTTGTAAAATTTGGACTTCGCACAAGTGCCTCTGTTACAAAGCGCGTATCTCGTGTAGTGCCTTAGCTCAGTGCTGGCACCGAACTCGCAATAGTGTCAACGTGCGAAAATTCACTGAGTTATCCTGCAGTATTTAATAGCCCAATTCTGTCAGTATCGGTGACAAACATTTTTTTTACTGACAGATTTAAACTTTTTCATATATGCTTCTGTAAAAAAAACGGTAACAAGAATTTGTCAATGATGCAGAATAGCGCCGTAAGACTCTAGAAATGCAAATAGATCTCTATAAGATGTAGCTTTAAATTTGGTATGGAGGTGTATCTGGGAGCGAATTAGCGATATACTTAAAGAATCTTATTTTGTTATGCATTCGTAACGGCGATATGGATGTACATTACGGCTGTGCGATTATTCGATTACTTGAGCAAGCTGGTTAATCAGTTATTCGGTTAATCAATCACTCGAGTAATCAAGATTTTTATTACTCAAAACGATGATTAATCGAGTTATTTGAAATATGATTACAAAAAAAAATTTAATTTGCTCGTTAAAAAGAGTTTTCTTGGGAAAATTCTTATTTTCTTTTTTATATTCTGTATATCGAGGGCTTATATTCAATACCCTCTATCTGCAAAAACTCAATTTTTCAGGAGAGCAAAAAAACTGTTTTGGCAGCTGTTTTTAAAAGTGTTAATAATTTTAAGTACACACACATGTCTTAAATATTCACACAATATACTAAAACTAGTTTTTTACTTTTAATTCATTTAATTTTAGTTTAAAGATCAGATAGAGGTTATTGCAATTCGAATTATAACTATTTATATAGAAAAATTTGCTGATAGAGGGTTTTGCAGAATAATGAAAATGTCAGTTCTTTAGACGTAAATACTATGTTAAACTAAGATTTTAATGCGTTTAATGTGTTTTTGTGTCAAAAGAGTATTTCACGTGATTTCGAAATTATATGAGAATCATTAGCACTGTTAAAAGAGGCTTCGCTGGCTGGTTTACTGTCCGTTCAGATGAGGAAATTTCCTTCGTTTATAGAGGCGAAACGTACAGCTGATTCGGCTGTAAATGCCGAGCAGTACGGGGGAAAAGCACTGAAGACAATTGTAACACCCAGCCCCAGGTAATTTATGAGTATCAAACTGGGCAAATGCCCTTGCGGTAGAGTTTTTACTTTAGTAAGCATCGGATGATGTCGAATTCTTTGATGTAGCTTAATATACGAAATAAAGGTGATTGCTTGCTACATGAGTTTTTTTGTTGAAAGCAGGATTCGACGTGAGAGACAGCTTTTATTGGCGAGGGGGGAAATGCACGGATGCTTTTTCTCCTCTGCTACATAGTAAGGTGTTTCTAGCAATTTAAGATGTTTTTTTGCGCAGTGTCCATAAATTACGAGCCCAAAGTCAACTTTTACATAATGACAGTTCTGCTTAAAAGTAGGTTTATTGTAAGAAATCATTCCAAATATTTTCAATGTATCAGTATAGGGGAGGGGTGTTAGACAAGGAGAGGGTTGGATGTATGTATTTATTTGTATTTTCTGCATATGTGAAAAAATTACTTTTTCAGCTTAAATCTGAGCTCCTGAAGATTTGGACCAATTGATTAGATCGTTTAGTATGTTAGAAAAAATAATTTTTACTTGCGTCAAGTCCTTAGTCTTAGAAAAAATTAAAATATCATTAGCGTATTTAGTTTGGCAATAGGAATAATAATAGCAGTTTCCCACTCTTGATGATATAACCCTTGAAATAAAATGTAGTTATGGAGTTTAATGACTCTATGTTTGATGGGATACGGATGATTTTTTAGAACGGGGTACGGGAGTTTGTCTGCACCAGGGCTTTTGCCTGTCATCGAAGAGATGGTTGGTCAAACTCTTAAATAGATATGAGTAAGAGAAAATTGTGAGAATCTTCGGACCAAGTGGAGGCAAATAAACATATACACATCGCTCATTTACTTTAGTAGTGTCATAATCCAAAAAATACAAATTTTGAGTTGAGTATGCAGAAATTATCGCTACGTCGTCTTCTATTTCGTGTAAAAATATCAAAGCTGTATCGATTAAGCCCTGTATGCAGCTCTCAAGAAAACAGCCAAGAAAAAATTGCCATTATTTCGCGTGTGTGTCCAAGGAATTTTGACATTTTTTGATACTTCACAGCCTGTTGCCTCACTCTTTCCTCAAGAAATAATGGAGCGGGCATATATTTCTGTTGCAAAACTGGGTTGCCTTATGCTCTTTCTTCACAAAAAACTTTAGAAAACCGTAGTAGAAAGCATAGTAAATTTCTTAAGAACTGCGTACTGCCTTAAGGAAATTTGACTCAAGAAAATTTCTTAGCCATTTCTTGTACGCCATTTTATATGGAGTTTTTGCTTTTCTTGAGAGCTGCATACAGGCCTTTGCCAGAATCTCACTAGAATAAAATATGTATTCATTTTTAGTATCGGCGTATATGTAAATTCAAAACTTTAAAACCGTCTTTCTCGAGTTTTGATTTTTTGAGTTATGAAATTATTGTAGTAAATGAGCGGACATGTATATACCTGTAAGCTACCGGCCAAACCCGATCTTAGAATAAACTATTTTTGTAACTCTCATCATCAGTCCAACTGAAGCTACGCAGTCCACAAGATTTGGTTTCGGTTGGACATCGCGTTAGGTGGAACAAGTTTAGCCTGGGCAAAACTAGTTTGACCTAAGATCGGATTTTACCGGAACATATACATACATGCATCGGCACATGTAACTAACCCAGTCTTTATTTGACCTGCCACAAAAAATGGTAATGAACACGATTTTCCAGCAAAATTGTGTAGATAGAGGATTTTGCTTTTGTAACAAAATGTTATTGCAGATAGTGGATTTTTCAAAATGAGAATATAATACCATAAAAGCAAAATTTTAAGTTTGGCATTATTGTCATGGCTGAAGGATAAATAAGAGCTCACGTTACCATCAAAAACTCATTTTCATCAAAATTGTAGATAGAGGGTATTGAATATAAGCCCTCGATATGAAAAAAATATTTCATTTTACTTGATAAAAACAGAAATGTTAGTATAAATGAGTATCAAGGAACTTCAACTGGTTTATATGTAAAGAGTACTTTGAAATGTTGTTTACCCATTTTACTCAGAATGTTGATTAATCATAAAGCAAATTTCTCAAATATTTTTGTTTTAGGTTAATCAAGATCTTGATTACTAGAGTAACTGAACTTTTTAGTAATCATAATTTCCAATTAATCGAATAATTGAGTTATTTACTTTATGATTGATTAAAATTTTGAATAATCAGTTAATCGCACAGCTCTAATATATGTACATCTATCTAAAAAGCCTTTTAATTTTTACCGCGGCAATCATTGTAAAACTCTCGATTTCCACATCGTTGGCATCGAATAGTCCTTGTTCCATAGCTTTTAGCGTCAAATTAATTAGCGTTTGCTGACCGTCTTCGTATTCATCTGACTCGGCTTTTAGAGAGAGATTTTCCTTAATCAACTGCAAATTAATGAAGTGAATATTTACTTGTGATTTATGCAATCGATGAGTTCATTTTATTCTAACTAGGGGCCAGTTGCTCAATGTCTCGTTAACAGTAACTGCTGGTTACACATGGTTATCGGCGTGATCGAATCGATAATATAAACAGGAAGTGGAAAACGTCGATAACGACGTTTAGCCTGTAGTAAGTGTTAACCAGACATTGAGAAACTGGCCCTAAGTGTTTTTGTACTTACATCGCGTACTAACTCTCTTAAATATTTAAGTGTTTTTTTGTACTCTGGCGTTAAAGTTAGAAATCCTAAACCCACCGAGGAGTAAACTGAATTCTGTGCCATGCGATGAACTAGACTATGTGATGTCGTAATTAGCAGGAATCGAATTGTAGGTACTTGAATGCTGATAGTTTACTTACATGTTAAATGCATTCATAACCTCCTTGTACTTATCACTTCCTTCATCAATTTTGGTGCCCATTATAGTCACTGTAATTTCATAAAGCAAATAACGGGTGATTTTTTAAGAGCTTGATAACTTTTTTTTTAAAAAAAAACGCATAAAATTTGCAAAATCTCATCGGTTCTTTATTTGAAACGTTAGATTGGTCCATGACATTTACTTTTTGAAGATAATTTCATTTAAATGTTGACCGCGGCTGCGTCTTAGGTGGTCCATTCGGAAAGTCCAATTTTGGGCAACTTTTTCGAGCATTTCGGCCGGAATAGCCCGAATTTCTTCGGAAATGTTGTCTTCCAAAGCTGGAATAGTTGCTGGCTTATTTCTGTAGACTTTAGACTTGACGTAGCCCCACAAAAAATAGTCTAAAGGCGTCAAATCGCATGATCTTGGTGGCCAACTTACCGGTCCATTTCTTGAGATGAATTGTTCTCCGAAGTTTTCCCTCAAAATGGCCATAGAATCGCGAGCTGTGTGGCATGTAGCGCCATCTTGTTGAAACCACATGTCAACCAAGTTCAGTTCTTCCATTTTTGGCAACAAAAAGTTTGTTAGCATCGAACGATAGCGATCGCCATTCACCGTAACGTTGCGTCCAACAGCATCTTTGAAAAAATACGGTCCAATGATTCCACCAGCGTACAAACCACACCAAACAGTGCATTTTTCGGGATGCATGGGCAGTTCTTGAACGGCTTCTGGTTGCTCTTCACTCCAAATGCGGCAATTTTGCTTATTTACGAAGCCATTCAACCAGAAATGAGCCTCATCGCTGAACAAAATTTGTCGATAAAAAAGCGGATTTTCTGCCAACTTTTCTAGGGCCCATTCACTGAAAATTCGACGTTGTGGCAGATCGTTCGGCTTCAGTTCTTGCACGAGCTGTATTTTATACGGTTTTACACCAAGATCTTTGCGTAAAATCTTCCATGTGGTCGAATAACACAAACCCAATTGCTGCGAACGGCGACGAATCGACATTTCACGGTCTTCAGCAACACTCTCAGAAACAGACGCAATTTTCTCTTCTGTACGCACTGTACGCATTCGTGTGGTTGGTTTAATGTCCAATAAAGTAAACTGAGTGCGAAACTTGGTCACAATCGCATTAATTGTTTGCTCACTTGGTCGATTATGTAGACCATAAATCGGACGTAAAGCGCGAAACACATTTCGAACCGAACACTGATTTTGGTAATAAAATTCAATGATTTGCAAGCGTTGCTCGTTAGTAAGTCTATTCATGATGAAATGTCAAAGCATACTGAGCATCTTTCTCTTTGACACCATGTCTGAAATCCCACGTGATCTGTCAAATACTAATGCATGAAAATCCTAACCTCAAAAAAATCACCCGTTACATACATATGTATTTATGTAAATATTACGGATATTCATCATTATGATACTTTGATATGCAGTTACTTTTGATGTTGTTTTTCCCATGTTAACACCAAAAGAAAAACAATTAAGCGATAACTGTGTCAGATTAACGAGCTATATTTTAATTAGTCACTTTTTTTAACAAGGCATCGGAGAAAAGTACATCGACGCTAAAATAAGAGAAACATCGATGGTTTCCGATGTTTTGCAATTTGTTAATTTCTAGTTAAATTTAAAGGAATATTGAATACTCGAATAATAATGAATGTATTTTCCTGTATTTTATTATCCTTTCTATAATCTTTCTATTATTAGAATCAAAATGCATACCAGCGTAATGTCATTCGGGCCTAAAGATCCTAGACCTGATTTTGTTGAAATTCTAAGGGGTGTTTGGTTCTACTTTAACGGCTAGGTTATTAGCATTCAGAATGAATCCAACAATTTTATTGAGCTTGGGCTGGTTTTTTATGAAAACTGTTGTGGAAAAGCAACAATAATTTACAAAGGTAAGAAGATATAGCTGCTATTTGGGAGATCACCACATCTACCAATCAGACTTTTTCAACCGTGGTCACTGAGGAGATGTGGTGATCTCCGAAATAGCAACTATAACTTCTACCTTTTGTAAATTATTGTTGATTTTCCATAACATTATTCATAAGAAATGGCCACAAACTCAATAAAACTGTTAAATATAATTTTCATAAGGCCATAAATTACAAAAAAAAATCTGAATGAATAATAAATTTAAGGTCAGTCAAACATACCGAAAGCAAGTCGGAGAGTCTCCTTAATGTCGATGTTTAAAACATCGGTACAACTTCCATCGATGTATCGTCAATTTCGCGATGTTAGTAAATTGTAGGCATCGATGGCAAACATCGAAAATTTAACCGATATTATCGATGTTTCGAAAACATCGATGCATCGTTTGCATCCCTATGTATGGCTGACTTCCGAAACGTATCAATACAATGTTGGAATACTGTTATACTTCCGATATCAAACTGTTTTTATATGCAGGCTTGCGACACATTGCAACTATGTATATACATACATTGCATATTTTAAATATTTAATACAGCAATGAACAAGTTTTCTGTATTTTCCATTTTTTAAACACCAATGGTAACCAATAACAAACCAAGCATCAACTTTGTTTCTGATGCGCTGATTGCTCTAGCGATGGGTGCCGGTAACTTTTCGGATGCGTTTTGGAAAGTATGCATTGCCAATAGTATGTCGTTCGGCGTTATGGAATGTTATATTTTGTAAGTATGCAAATCAATTAACGGTTTGGAAGTCAGCATATTTTCACACCTTTTTTATATTCTTTACTATGAGAATATTGTATTACTATTTGTCCAAGAAATTATATAAATGTTTAACTCTTTCACTACCACTGTAATCATGCATCCAGGGGGAAATTTAAAAAATCGACAAAAGTGCAATTCCCACTCTATTCGAATAAGATAACGCCCCATTGGTAGTCATAAGTATTTTCTTTTCACAATCAGCTATTTTGGGCTCGTTTAATGAGCGCATAATTTTTATAGCACTTAATTGGTATCAACCACTTTATTTCTATCAAACTTGGTTCAATTATATCATTGAGTCTAACTCAGCGCTTAAATCGGGAAAATACCCCTGCTTATCATGCAAAGGTAGTTAAAACAAGTAAGAGCAGCGCTGTTTTCGGCTATGCCGAAGGCTTCATACCTTTCATGAACATCTGCAAATTTTACTTTGACAGATTATTGCTTTTGAATACATCTGCATACATCGGTAGAGGAGTTACATACCTATATAAAAAATCGCATCTAAACAATCAGAGGTTTGGAAGATATACCTAATATTAGCACCAATCTAAGTGATTTTCACTGCTATGTGATCGGTATGTAAACCGGTAACACAATTTATTGGGTTTAGTTTCCTACATAAAGGAGATATATCGCAAAAACTGGTATCTGAACAATCAGTGGTATAGGAGATAAAGCTTATACAGCATAGATTTGGACGATTTTCTCAGTAGAATTTGTATTATTCTTTATAAAATATCTTACGAAATTTATCGGGTTTAGCTGTTCAAATAAAGGAGTTTTACAGTAAAATCCCATATCTGAACAATCAGATGTATGGAAGATACATATATGTTATAGTCCCCGATCCTTGTTATTTTCACTGTAAGTATTCTGTTAATAATGAGTGAAAATGGTGCGAAATTTCATGTTCCTAGCTGCATAAATGGAGGAGTTATGATAAAAGACCTCATATCTGAACAATCAGTTGTATGGGGCTGCAGGCTATAGTTACCCCAGCTTTTTAATTTTCACTGTAAGTCTTCTGTTGGTAATTATTGAAAACAGTGCGGAATTTCATGTTCCTAGCTATATAAATGGAGGAGTTATAACGAAAAATCTCATATCTGAACAATCAGTTGTATGGGAGCTATATGTTATAGTAGTCCGATTCTTCCGGTTCCGCCAAATGATTAATACATTATAAAAATACACCCACCTACCAAATTTTATCCGGATATCTCGAAAACTGAGAAACTAGATTGCATACAAACAGACGGACAGACGGACATGGCTAAATCGACTCAGCTCGACGTTCTGATCATATAAGTATACATTTTAATGGGTCTATCTCTTTTTATTCTGGTACTTTCAAACATCGGACCAAAGTTATAATACCATTTCATGCTCATGAAAGTTATAAAAATAGCAACGATAATATGTGATACCTGCGCCGGGTATATGAAGTTCGGTTTCGCCCAAACTCATACTTCTATACTTGTTTTTAATTATTTTCCTTTATAAAAGGTACATAAGTTTACGACTTAAAATAGTTATTTTTGTTAACAGCAATGAAATAAGACTGTATTAGGTTATTGTTCATTTTAAAAGAATAAAATATATTTACAATAAACAACTAAATCTTTTAACAATAAAAAATTACGAGAAACAGGTTAATAGAAAATGTGCTAAGTCCCCATTGAAAGAAGAAAATCATAAAGAGAAAATGTGCCAAAAGAGCCTATAAGTCTGCAACAGCTTTATTATGAAATCGACCGATTATTGGTACTGAAGCAAGACGAACTAAGGAAGAAAACTAAGTTTACAGATTAGGAAAATATTAACAATAAAAAAATTTAGATGGTTTTTTGTCCCGCCTGAAAAATTAAAAAAAAAAATGGACTTAGCACGTTTGCGAACTAAGCCAACGATATGTATATTGATTCTTTCAAAAATGAGTTAGATTCATGTAAAACGTTAACATAAATTATTTCCATACTTAGTTTGCACAGCAAAATAAAATTATTTAAATTTTTAACAAAAATTTGTTTTAACAGTAAAACATATGTAACAATGTAAAAACTTGTACATATGTATATGTTCGTACAGTGCTTACGGCAGTATTCGTTATTTAGTGTTTTCACGATATTCAAAACGTTTTCCATTAAAAATCTTTATCGGTAATTTATATTTTAAATGTGTATATGTACATAGCTCATTCTACTACAAAAAAACTTGCACGGTTCACGGGATGCAAGGCCTGCAAGCAGAGACATAACTAGTATAATAGAAAATAATAAAAGTTAATCAATAATCATTATATTAAGATAAATATATTTCGAGTCATCTATAATTATTATTCAAGGGCTTATTTATAAAAGTCCTTTAATGATAATTATCAGAGAGATAAATATTTTAAGTCTTCAAAGACACCTATTTTAAGACTTATATTATAAAAGATTTTTCATAATAATTATCATTGAGATAAGTATTTTTAAGTCTTCAAAGACTTTTATTTAATGACTTACATTATAAAAGTCTTTCCATAACAATTATGAGTGCGAACAAATTTGTTAAGTCTTAACAGACGGGACTTGTTCAGAAGCATTTCAGGAATAGTTGGGGCCAGTTCGGGGTAAGGTGGGGATCAGTTCGGGACTAGTTGAGGATAGTTTGGGCCCAGTTGGGACCCGTTCGGGACTATATACAAAATTTTTTCGCACTAATAATTATTATCAAAAGACTTTTGTCTCAAAATAAAAGTCTTTGAAGACTTAAAAATATTTATCTCAATGATAATTATTATGACAAGACTTTTATAATATAAGTCTCAAAATAAAAGTCTTTGAAGACTTAAAAATATTTATCTCGCTGATTATTATTATGAAAAAACTTTTGTTATATAAGTCTTTGAATAATAGTTATCGATATATATATTAAAAAAATATATAAAAAATATTTTTTCACGCATAATTATTATCAAAAGACTTTTATAATTATTACGAAAATTTCGATGACTTCTTTAAAACTCCACCATGAAATAATTATTATTTTGGGTCACTGCCTGCAAGGCTTTCACATAGCAAAACAGGTTTTTACCGTCCAATTCGTGCACCGTTAAGAGCTTGATATTTTAAATTTACGAACATGTTTATACAAAATGGCCCCCTAACTTCCAAATTTTTACCTAGATATTCGAAAAATTCTTGCCTGATAATTCCGCTTATGTGTTTTTGTACAACATAAAACATACCTCTATTGGTTGCAATAATTTTAAGCTATAATAAAAAATTGTTTAGTAAGTTATTGGTTTTGAATTTTTTTTTGTGTATAGCTCACTTTTTTTAGCAACGTTTGCGCTTAACTTCTGCGCCTTCTGAACCACTTACCCATTGATAAGCCAACTTCGTATTAAGTTGTAAGTCTTTTAAATTAAAGCGTAAGGCCTTATATTGTAACAAACTCACGAATGCTCAGTTGTAAGCCATAAGCTTTGATAACACCGTAGACATCCTGTTCACCGCGACCAGCCATAGCGATTAACTTCTGCTTCACATTTTTTGCATTGTCGTTGAATAACGGGAAAAAACTCATGAGATTGTTGTGGCCAAGAAAAGGACTTATCGCTTTGCGATCTGGTTTCCATTTATTCACTGTGCGTACGAAAAATTTATATAAAACATATAGACATATGTGTTATCACACTTGTTCACCTGGATTCACAATAAGCCCGTTAATGACACCGTTATTAAAGTGAGCATACAAGTCTCTGGCTTTGTTGAGAAATTCGGGTGAAGATGTGACATGTTTAATCACTTCCGGCTCGACAGTAATTATAATCGGAGTTGTAGTCACCCACACACAACCGGTTAAACTTTTTATTTCATCGAAACCACGGCTTACAGTGCTATAAACTTCTGCAAT